TCCGATCTAGGCGTAGGCTGGCGCGGAGGAGCGGTTGCAGTCGCGACGCCGGGCTGCCAGCTCAAAGCCCTGTGACTGCGGGGGAAGGAAGCGGCCCCACGCCTGGGTGATGGGGAAATGACACTGCGGGCTCTGTTCTCGCAGGCGGTCACGATGCTGGGGTGCCCTGAGCCAGCAAGCACCCGGGGCGGGGGGAAAAACTGGCTTGGGTGTTGCCTTCCTGCATGGCGAGGCATCATCCGGGCTTTGCTGCCTGTTCTGAGCACTGAGCTGCTTGAACGGGACGCGGGGCAGAGGGAAGTGGGGAGCGTTGCCCCCAACCCGCCCCTCACCCGTGGCTGCCCTGTGGGCAGGGGTTTGCCTGCAGACGGGTGTTTTCCCACCCTGCAGCAGCGTCGCTGTGGGTCGCAACCCTCTCTCCTCGCGCCGTCACCTCTGTCCCCGGCTGCTTGCTTCTTGGTTTGGGTGTTTCGCCATGTCCCGAGCACTGGAGGTGCTGGGTTTGGCCCCGGGTCGTCCTCCTGGTGGCAAATCCTGTATTACGGATGCCTGAGCGTGGATTATGGCTCTGAACTTGATTCACGTGTGCCTAAGTTACCGTTGCTGTGGGAACCCTTAATGCTGAAATCCTCGACTGGCGCGTGTAAAATTAGAGCTCGTTCCGCCCAGCCCCGCTGGCTGCTCCCCACGGAGCTCGTGTGCTCGGGAGGCTGGCAGCATCCCCCCTCAGCCAGGGGATTTTTGGACAAGGAGGGTCTTCCCCATCAACACTGCTCCTTCTTTGCCCAAGTTTTTGGCTCTGCCCACCTCCCCATGCCCCCAGCCGTGTCCCCATGTCCCTGTGTCCTCATAGCATCTCTGTGGGCTCTCCTGGGTCTCTCCAGCCAGGGCATAGGTGGATTTTTGGAGAAGCAGGGTCTTTCCCATCAACGCTGCTCCCTTCTTTGCCCAAGTTTTTGGCTCTGGGAAAGGAACGACCGATGACAGCCGTATCCCCGTGTCCCCACTGCATCTCTGCGGGCTCTCCTGGGTCTCTCCAGCCAGCCAGGGCATAGGTGTACAAGACGGGGAGTGCAGATGGGTTGCTGGAGCGGGGATCCTGGCAGTGCTCCCAAGCGTGCAGAAAGGGCATGGACGCCTCGTTCCCTTCTTGAAAACTTCGGCACTTTGTTCCCGTGGGCGGGAAGCAGTTTCGCAGCCTGCCGCAGGCACTGAGCGAGCGCCGTTCGCCCAC